TGATACTAAAATACAGCACTGACAAGAACTATTCATTGTGCATTGTATGTCTGTGGGGTTGATCTGTAAGCAAGGTTTAGAGGTGAAGTTCTATAAACTAGCCCTCTTTTTTTGGTGGCAGTAAATTAACTTTCCACTAGCAAAGCTCTATTTCAGCCTGAATAAAGCAAATTAATTAAAAGGATTTCCTTTCATCAGGTTTAGGAAAAGGCTTTTTCAAGTGTCAGGTTGTCAGATTTCTAATCACTTAACAAATAATAAATCACTGTGGATAAAAGTCAAACTTTTTAAAGTGTTTTTGCTATAAAAAAAGGATATAATTTCTGCCAGAGTAGAACTGTTAAATACAGTTATAAACATTTAGTTTTCCAAGTGCAATACTAAATAGTTCCTTTAATTCTGTATTGGAAGGATCATCTGTGAAAACATCACTTCAAATATAAAACTACCAAGATCAATTTTATCATTGCAGTTAAAACACTTTCTTTTCTCTTTTTTCTGGGATCAGAAAAAAAGACTTCATAACTGAAGGTTGTCTGACATCAGCCCACTCCCAAAGAGCAAAAACCATACAGTTGTGGAAAGAAAGAGAGCTACAAGCCAGACTGGTACTAACAGAGAAGATCTTCTCTCCCTCTTAATAATATTAAGTTCTCAACACAGGAAGACCTGCTCCTTAACAGTGATTCTGACTACTTAAGTTGCAAGACCCTTGTATATTCTAAAGGTTTTTTACTCTTTCACTTTTATGGATGGGAGGGGAGAGGATTTGTAGTCATCTATCTCCCTAGATATTTCCTTTAACTTAAAAAACCTTATAAAATGTCTCAAAGGCTTCTGCTGTGTCTCTCTAGACATTCATTCTGTCAGCAAGTGTCCTTCCTGAAACATAACATGTTATGTGAGGCTGCCTCTGAGGATGCTTAGTCATTTTTTCAAGGCAGCTACCAAAGCATTCCTTGGGAAATTATTGTGATCTATTTTGCAAGATTGCTACTTACTAATTACTAGCAAGGAGGGACAGATAAGAACTTTAGGACACTAGCCTAGAAACTGAAGAATAAATGTTTGAGAACAGGAAAACTGAGAACTAAGCATACAAAAAGGATGGTTTATGTGTTTTTTGGCTAGCATAGATTGTCAGAATACCACCTGGCACATCTTGTCCCCTAAGAGTTACTAGAGGAAAAGAATCCAGCATTTTTTCCAGCCTACACCCCTTCATTTTAATTCTTCTTCTAGATGTGCCATTCCTGGGCTAATCTTCCTACTACTTGTTCAAATATGTGGAGGAGAGGATTAATGGAAGTTAAATTCTCCTTTGATCAGTTACTGTAATCACAAGATAAAGAAAAATTTAGTGAATATTTTGGTATTTTTTTAGGACAGGTTTTTGAACACATTTTAGGACAGATTTTTGAAACAGAAAATGTAAGGTCTGCTGAACCCTGAGATGGAAATACAAGTAAAAATAATTTTCAATTACGTCTCACTGGGCAAAGTAACCAGTCTGAAAAGCATCGTGAGACATTTCTTATGTCCAGCCTCACATCTGGTGAGACCAGTGGTGGTTTCTACCACTGACTGGACCAATGAGTCAGAGGCTCCTCAGTTGCCATGACAAATATTTTACCAAATGAATCACAGAACTTGCTCACAGCTAACGCCATCTGGCAGAGCGCTGAAACTGGTGGTTGTACTACCCTGTGGATACAACCCTTGCTAAATACAGTAGCAAAGATTATTTCCCTTCCACTACATCCAGATAGCAACTTCAGCAACTGAAGAAATTTCTGAGGCATGGAAAAACAACACTCCAAACACACCTGCATATTTTTGCTGTATTTTTGCAGTAAATGCACTGTCCTCACAAATTAAAAAAAAAAAAAAAGAAAATCAAAAACACCAAACCCAACAAATTATTCACACTGTCTGCACTGGCTCGTCATTTTTTCTCCCACTCCCATCTGTTCAGTTTCACTCAGCTGGAAACAAGAGAAAAAGCCAGCAACATTCAATCACTCTTTTCCTTGGGAGTTGGAGCAGTCAAAAGACTGGAGTTTTTTAAATGGACTTACATTGTAGATATGTTTTTTAAAATGCATTGACAAATAATACATATATTGGAAATATGCCTTTTACCACCAAAAATATTACAAATTGTATGGCCAGGTGAACAGGACTGTAAAAGGACTGAACAAAAATGCAGATAACACCTAAATTCCCTTAGGCCTTTGGGCTCTACAATGCAAAACATATAAACCCATAAACATATTTCATGAATTCAAAAAAATATCAGAGTTCATTTTAGTCTCTGCAATTGGAAATGAAAGGATTCCTGGTGCTTTTCCAGCATCAGCTGTCAGGTTTACTAAGTTACCCCCCTTTCGGGGTGGGAGAAAACTATATTTCAGTTCAGTGTCTAGTACTCAAAATAATAAAAAAAATTATTTCACATTTCTTTGAGTTTTTGAATTCCTGTTCAGTAGTTGTTCTGATTTATTTTTCAATAAAATGTTTCATTTTTCTTCAGAACAGAGATTCTGCTCAACAGCCAGGTCTGTAAATTTATCTGGGTTCTTTACATTAGTACAACTGCACAGATGGAGAATTTACACTGGTGCTAGAGGTCTAAGCACCCAAGCATCAAATTAAGCTGTACAAAACATAACAAATAGACTGCAAAGTAGATGGTTTATACCTACTACATATCTTGGGGACGGCAAGACCAAACAACCCAATCATTTGCAGTGCTGATCCAACTCTCCTAAGCATCTCTCCTTTTCAACTTTGTATGCATTTATTTAGTACCAAGACATAATGGAAATAATTAATCTTTGTGCTGGAACTGGGCCCAGTACAAGACCCAAATGGAATCCTCTTTGCTGTTTTTAAGCTTGTGAACATTACTTTGACTCTTAGATACAAAGCAGGCCAAATTCAAGGACTACCTAATCCACTGCTTTCAGGAACAGTCAGGTTGCAAAGTTGTACCATTGTGCTACCAGTAAAAAACTGTTGGAACAGACAGAAGTTCATCCTGGATGTCTCCTGCTCCATGGATCCCCAGAAAGAACAGGCAGAAGGTAAGATGTACCAACTGTTCTTCTCATGACTAGCAAAATACTGACAGATTCTTTAGCTAAGTGAAAGCTGATGACTCCAAAACAAATTAATGGGGCACAAAGAAGTGTTAGGATAGAGAAAATCAGAGAGAATTTGAATATCAGAATATAATTCCTACAGATATTCTCATGCTGTGCATGAGATCTTTTAGCACACCTGGTGCCCAAACAGCTCTTTGCAATAGTGTCTGAATATAAGTAGTCTGAGACCCTCTACAAACAGACCACCTCACAGACTTACTTGGGTTGTGCAGCCAGTACTGCAAATAAAAATGTTTTAAATAGTTATTTGGCCAAGAAAAATGATAAACACCCATCAGTAACAAACATGGCAGCAACTGCAATTATTCTATTTGAGCTGCTTAACACTAAAGCTCAAAATATAGACTGTCTGATAAGGATGACTACAAGGTCATTCTGAAATGATCCCCCGTGGTTACTTCATAAATAAGATATAAAAAATACTATACACATAACAAACTGCTTGTCCTGCTGCCTTAATTACTGCAATTATGTATTTGCTGTAATTGAGGGAAAAAACCCAAAAATACTATGTTGATGAGATGTAGAAAAAAATCCTATTATTATTTAGCTGAGGCTTCTTTACCTAAATTTGCAATATCCATGGAGTTTCAAAGTATTGGGAACTAAAACATTTTACCTGAATTCAGAGATAATAAACATCCAGAGAAAAAACAAAAACAAGTTTTAACATAAGTAAAATGATACCATTTTCTGCTTCTCTTAATGTAACAAACCTTTGTGAACAGATGGCAGCAGATCTGTGTGATGCAGTGGGCAGCATTTCCATATCACGCTGCTGGCAAATATCACCACCATTTAACTCATTTATTCCTGTGCACACCCTCACAGCACATGGACGCATTGTTACCTGTCAGAGGTGCTCAGCACCTACCACTTGACAGTAATTGGTGCTCAGGGCTGGCTTCTCCCTGTATTGTACCTGATGAACAGCCAGTCTTCTCATCACTCCAACAACTGCAAAATTAACATTGCCCTCTGCTTTTCAGGAAAAAGCAGATAACCCAAATTCAACCACTCTAGTTTAGACAAATAAACCTGAGGTCAAAAAGTCAGCTGGTCTGCATTTTAGGCTGGTAACACAAGAGGAATCCCTTTTGTGAGATGAGGCATTACATGAGGAGTACAGGGAATAAAGCCTGTCCATGGCTGCCACCTCCTCAGTCCCCTTCTTGTTGCCCTGCCACAGCCCTTGTGACATCTTTAACAGCATAACTTCCACTAACTGAAGGTACTCACATCCATTTGTGTCCTGTGCCAGACTTTCACCACAGCTTTGAGGTGAGGGCCTCATTCAAGTCTCTTCTCTATGCTGTCCAGAATTTCCACAATACGTACAAGGGACTTCAGGATTTGTTTAAAATGAGTTAAGGAATTCAGGAGTTATGGGAGACAGAGAGGGAAAAAGGGATGGAGGGTGGGACATGAACTAGGGAAGCACAACAAAATCTCAAGGAAATATACACAAATTAAAGAAAATCTGCATTCTTCCCAGCAACCAATACACTAGCAAAATTATTTGCTTATTTAGGCCCAGATTTCATCCTTTACCTTGCCCTAAGATATTTACAACTGGATAGCAAGAGTGCACTTTCAGTGTATTTGTTGCAGAACATAATTAACCATGGCCAACACTGCATTCATTTCTCATATCCTGTGTGCAGCTGTAGGATGAAGAGGACGTCTTTCACAAGCATACATCTTTATTAAAATCTCAGCATTGTCTGCATGATCAGAATACACAGTTCACATCCCAAAATAACCCTAGAGATTCTCAGTATTATATAATATGAGGAGTCAAGCAAATTTCACTTTTACATGTACTGCAGCTACCTGAAAATCACTTTGAAGAGCAGAGAAAATCCACATGTTCCTCACCAATGTGTTGACACAGGAACCAGCAATATTCAACTGTCTGCATTGAGAAGCTCCAGTTAGAAAACTCTAGAGACTTCTCACATTCCCTGGAGAGAAGGTACAAAGAACTGAGTTGTTGCACATATAATCCTCTTTGGAAAATATTTATTGTCAACAGTTACTTGCTTTTCATTATTTATTACAAGTAATACAAATCCCAAATAATTCAGTCACCAGTTTGAAACCATGAAGTCCATAGAGCTTTGCATATCACCTGTCAAACTTACTGCTACCTCTTAGAAACCTTACATGATTCATTATTTATTTTAGTAACTGAGTACATAGATAGCACTTTGTTCTCAAGATACCCTTCATAGATGCCACTTTTAGAATACTGCACATGCCTTAAATATTAATGCTCTTTATGTATTATTGCAAGAAACTTTCAAAGGCTTTTCTATGGACACAAATTATGAGCAGGTATTAAACCAAGATCTGCTGCAAGGCAGCCAAATTTAAGTGGGGGATTTATGGAATTTTTAAAAGTTTTTTAATTTTCCAGAAGATTTTGTATTTTCAACTTTTTACTCTGATTGAGAGGTGGAGGATATGGGAGAGAATATCAGACCTTCATACAGCCCCAGTTATTATTAACTGTGTGGTATGGTTTATAACCTCAGCTTTTTAAAAGTCAATTAGACATAAGAAACTCTCAACATCTCAAAATAAATTTCCACACTAAACAGAGATGAGGAGATGCCTCAGAGTTATGATAGTGAGATGGAATATTGATAACTACTTTATTTCAAGTGATTCATATCTGTCCTGACAGGCTCTCTGGAAATGCATAAAGCAAATAAAATACTTGTGGTCACCAAATTACCCACAGCAAACACATTCATACTGCCCAAGCCACAGCCCTTAGAGATAAATTGCCGTTGAGCTCAGCACAAGAAAAGGCAGTTGGGTTAATTAGCAATGGTTCAGCTTGAGTGCCTATGCAAGAGACAGGAGTACTTAAGAGTTAATGATTAAAGCCTAAAAAAACCAAACTAAACCCCAGCAACTGGCACACAGTGCTTCAGTTACATCTGTGACATGTTGCACAGGGGGCAAATTCAGTCTTATTTTGCACGCTCCTTTTATAATGCATTTCCTGTACAGACAAGAAAAATGTGAGATGTTCCAGGGGACACTTTGGAAGACCTTGCTAAGTACTCTACATGAAGTGCTGCTTTCCAAAGCCTCTGCTGAGCATCTACAGAGCAAAACAGATAAACGGTGGATACTCTTTCCACTCTTCTTCCTCACCAAAGGCAAACATACCTTTAGATTAAAATACAGTGTTTATGGTGTTCCAGTATTGCAAACAGAAGAATATAATAAGATGTTCACAGTGACTTTCAGCAGCTAAATGCACACAATTGCACACATTATTTGCATCGGCAGTTCAGAAGAAGCAAAACTGACAGTTATAATGTTACAAGCTTTGTTGCTTTTACTTCCAACTTAAAAACCCATACTACAGTCTTTGGAAGTATGGATAATATTACAACAGCCTCAAGGTACTGGCTTGCTCACAAAAGCAAGTGAGTACTGAAAATGTTGGATTAGGATGCATTCAGATACCTGCAGAAAATGTTACACAAAAAGCCCACAGCATGTAACATACAGATCTGCATATTGTTTCAAAAACAGCCTACACAGGTGCCAGGAAAATTCAAGAACGGTACCATATGGAAAGCTAAAAGAAAATAGCACAAGATAAAAATCCCTCCCTTACAGATTCTTAATAACTCTTATAAAGTGAGGATGTATTAGCAACAAGGCACCTTGAAGCTGAAGAAATAACCATTACAAGAGCTACCAAGAAAGCAACACAAACCTAAACTCATAAGAAACTTTTTAAATGGCAGTCCAAAATATTTTGCATTGTTCCTGTGGTGCATGTGAAACTGTTGAAGACCTGGATGTGCTTGAAAACAGTCATGAGAAGTTTATGACTGGAATCATCTTCTAGATTCCTCTAGTTTCTGGATAGGAATTTGCTCTGTAAATTCATGCAACACCTTTCATTACCTCCTTAAGGACAGGAACATCTGCCTCTAAAATGCTCTAAAATGAGGAACTGAAATCCTGAATAGAATATGACTCAGAATGCATCTGGGCTTTGTTTTAGTTTTGGTTTGTTTGTTTTTTTAACCTCCCCAAATTAAAGGGCCAAGGGAAATTCCCCAAACATCTTTTATATACACCTAGTGCCATCAGAAGACCCAGTCTGAATGCCTGTTTATATATTAGGAAAGTTATTAGTATGAAATTGACAATATAATTTGTCATTCTATTCAGTCATCTGTTAGAGTGCAGGCTGAAGAACATGGTGCATGAACTAATGCACTTGGATGAATTGCATGCAGTCATCTGTGACTTCATTGGAGGGATTCTGATTTCCAATTGTTTGGAAGATGCACAGAAAGGCAGGATACACAAATGATCATAAATGAAAGAGTACAGAGCACTAATTATTCTACCTGAAGAAAAATATTTACATTAGAATAACAGTGCCTCCTACAATGTATTGAAATCCCAACGCTCTGAAAATTATTCAGAGCACATTTGTTCAGTAAAAGATTCATTAAATATCTCTATAGGATAAGCATTTAACAGAGAACACACAAATAAATTCAGGCAACAAAACTAGTTAACACTTAATCCTGTCATTAAAGTCCAATGTCATGCCTCATATCAGTATTACAAGTAATTTATGTTTACTGTCTCTGTTTTCTTAACATCTAAGTAATTACAACTGGACACTTGCCAAACAACTAAATCCTAATTTTTTGTTCTTTAAAATTGTATTTGTAAGTGATTGTGGGAATTGTGCACAAAAAGGATTCAGAGAAATATTTAGACACCTATGCACTGCCAAAAATGTTCAGCATTTAGATACCCCTAGGGAAGCAAGACTATCAGTTACCATGAACTTCCAAAAAAAGAAGCAAAAGCTGTGTTGTAGCAAGGTCTTTCCAATATAGTAGAAGTGACCATCCCTTACAGTTGAATGAATGCCTTTAAGGCTTTCTAGAGAAGCACACTGAGAATGAACAACAGAAATAAATAACAGTTTACAAATTAAGATCATTCTGGACACAATCTTGTTCAAACAGTAATAACAAAAGTAGAGGAAAAAAACACATTACAGTTCAAAAATTAATAGCAGAGAACGGATGTTGCATCTTGTGGATTGAAGAACATTATTTTCTCCAGGTTAACAGCTGAATTTGAGTTCTAGAGAAAAACAGACAAGCTTTTCCAGAGGGAAAAATATGTTTTGTTCAAGTGTACCCAGTGAAGAATTGAGACAACTATTAAGAAACATGAGGATGTTATTCCAAAAAATCATAAAAACATGGTTCTCAGAAGCTTGCTTTCTTGTGGAATGGTAAAGGCTTTCAGAAGGACAAACCCAACCAAGTCGCTGAAACACGGGATGTTCTTCAAGTTTCAAAATACCAAAGCAGCATTTCACCTTTGAAACAAAAGGCAGTCCAGCATACATATTTATCTGGCACAATACCTCTTATGAGTGTCTCTTTCCCTAGGCTGATCTCACTGTAAAACCTTTTGAATTTTCTGCCTTCCCATTAAACACTCCACCTTTCACCAAAAGCAAAACATTTCTCCTATCTCTTATCCCTAAGCAAAACTAGTAAGTCTTAATAAGCTGTCGCTTATTAGCATAAATTATGAGTATAAATTAAACAGTTTTTAATTCTATTCAGCTGTCACTGTCCTGTGGTGCAGGAAGTTCCCTCCTCACAAAGCCACACCAAAACACAGAATTCCTGGGCAAACGGAGGGACCGCAGGAACTTTTCTTTAGAGTTAAAAAGAAAATAAAGCAATAGAATAAAGCAACAAGATGGTCAAGAATTAAAGGGGAAATTAAAAGACTGAAGGCCCTTACATATTTTTACTATTATTTTACATTTTATATATGTATGTAAATATATATATATATATATATATATATATACACACACAAAAGAGACTGTTTCATGGTCTCAGGTACAGAAATCACAGTCACATGGACTAAAAATTAATAAGGAATAAGGAATAAGGAAGAATGATTTCTGGTGGGTAAAACAATCTGTCAGCAAAACTCAGGTGAAAATATTTGCTTCCAGGAAGAATGTGGAGGCCTTATCTGCAGATACTTGCAGAATGACTCTCGCTCAAAGTTCTGTGCACAGAGCTAGCTACATCTATAGGTTTCCACAGCCACAGGAGCTACAGCCAATCTTATTCTCATCAGGTGACAGAACACTGAGCTGAAAACTAAAACTCTCCTTCTTCATGTCTGTACCCAGCAAGACTGAACCAATCCTGCAGGTACTCAGCTTTCTCTGAAGACTTTGTGCCACCACAACCAGGAAACCCTTTCCTTTAGATCATGCTGTTCATTCTCATTACAGCTGCCAAACCAAAATCCAGCTTCCCTCTTCAGGCATTAGCTGGGCTTCATTCCACTCATTCAAACAAACAAACAAACATCCCAACAAAAGCCAAAAAAGTCCCACCAAGCTCTTTTTTGGCTTTAAATCTTGCTGCAGGCATTTTTTTTAAAAAAAAATCTTACTCAAAACAAATATCAGTCATAAGTTATTAGACATCTTATGAGGAAGAGCCTTTAATCAGAAAAGTTATGGAATAGTGAGTTTAAGTACATGAACTTTACATGGTGCTTTCACGTGTAACCAAGTCATCTGAAGATCTAAATGGTTTTTCCTTTTCCATTTTGCTAGAGATACTGTTGCCTTTATAAAGGGATTGCCTCTAACTAGCATGAGAGTAGACAAAACATGAAGTGTTTTCATGACAATGTTTTTTCCATTCCAATATAATTTGGCTTTGTGTTTATTTACCTCTACACTTTGCATTTCATTTACACAGTAAGGGATGTACACTTTTAAGAAGATGTACAAGGTAAGATGAATCTTGTAGTCTTGACACAGGCAATACTGTCATAGGCTTTAAAGGAGTGGGAACTTTTCAGCTTCAATTATTAGCAACAGTGAGACTCTATTGACATAGGACAAGAAAATGGAGAATT